CACGAAAACTCGAACTGACGGGCAGTTCAAGAAGAGCGTTTGATGTTTAATAGAAAAGTCTGTCCAGCTAAGCTGAAGTATTAGCATGATATACATAACACTTGATTTTGAAGCATGTAATTTATCAAAGCAACACTTCGGTATACACAATATTCTTCAGCAAGGGCGTCGAGGATTGAATCTTGATCCCTTCAGGTGTCCTCGCTCTTGAGAGGGCGACGTAAAGCTGTCCATGAGCAAACACGTCTTCTGGAAGGTAGACACCGATTTTGCTAAAAGATTGGCCTTGGGCCTTATTAATAGTCGTCGCAAAAGCCACACGAATAGGAAATTGCCTTCGACGCAGACGGAAGGGCGTTCTTTTGTCCCAGTAATTGTCGATTCTCGGAATAATGGCTAGTTGACCGTTGCGTTCCCTATTGAAAAATCGACATCCCAAAGTAAAACGGCCCAATGTTTCAATTTTGAGCCTTGTCCCGTTGCAGAGCCCATTGGCGACGTCTAGATTTCTCAAAAGCATGACGACAGTGCCTTTCTTCAGAAGCAAATTATGTGGCGGCATTCCCGTCGGCGTCAAAGAGTTCAGGTACTCAATCGGGAAAAGGGGGTCACTCTGTCCTTCAGGGTGGATCGCTTCATCGATACTTCTGTACAGCCTCTCGTCTTCAGGATTAACTACTTGGAGGCGATCCAATGCGCTTTCGTTCAAATGGTTTACATGAATATTTTTAGGCGCTATTATAGCACACTCACATAGCTGTGAAGTGCTACTTGGATCTATAACACTGCCGAAAATTTCCGTGACAATGTCAGTCACACACATCATTGTGTTTGGTACTGAAACGCGATCATCGGAGTCATTTGCATCGCCGTTTCCGATTTCCAAGAGACGTGTCTGCCACGCACTTCCTCCAGCTTGCGCTCTCATGTTGACGTTCAGGTGATAGATGGAGAACAACGGCCAAAGGTTGGACCTAAGAACGCAAGCCGCAACAATGTCTTCACGCTGGCCATGCTCTATTACAGGTAGAACTTGCCTGAAGTCGCCACCCAACACCATAACTTTTCCACCGAAGGGAACATCGACTTGCATTATATCTTTCAAGAGCGTATCTACTGCTTCCAGAGCGACCTTCGGAGCCATGGATAACTCATCCCATATAATCATGTCAGCTGACATAAGTTGTTGGGCCTCTCTCTCTTGTCGTTTCATTAGGGAGGAACGGTTCTCATCAGTAATGTTCAACTTGAAGGTTGAGTTTACTGTCCTCCCTCCAGGTAATAGATTAGCGGCTATTCCGATCCACGCCACACATATTACATGTCGTCTTCTTCCGAGCGCCATATTGTACAATGTGTTGTACAGATATGTTTTCCCACTACCTCCTGGTCCGTCGACGAAGATGCATTTATTTCCGCTACCCTCCAAAGCAGCAAGAATATTGTCTGCCGCCGCCTTCTGCAAAGCATTGAGAGTTTCATATTGGGCATTGCCTTCTCTTTCATGACCTTCATAGTCAATAGGAACGCTTGGTAATGAGGGACGGTCACGCGTTGGCGGAGTTACGATTTGCGCCAAATCCTTCCCAAGCAGGTTCATTTTATCGAAAACGTCATAGTACGCGAAGGAGACCGCCAGTTCCCTGTCTACTCCTTGGTGGACGAAGTCCTCAGACATCGCTTCGGCAAATTCGTCCCATAGATCTTGCGCTTGGAGAACATTACAGAAACACATCAAGCACGCGAAAAAACTTCTAATTGTTGCGGCAGATTGGTACTGGACTGCTTCTTGAAGGCTTTGGCGCAGGTAAGTATCGTCATCTAAGAAGCCAGCAGCTTTCGCTGCGTCGACGAAAGTGGGGTATAGTGTCCCATTAACAGTACGAATATCCTCGAAAGATGTCTTCCCTCTTGTGTTGACTAGAAGGATCCGAAGGCCATATCTTTCAGTGTCCCTTGGTGAGACTGTATACATTCGTCCGAGTTGCTTTCCACCTCCCCTTCTAGGCGTCCATCCTCGGTTTCGACTAAACGTGAAATGCTCAGGAATTTGGAAGTAGTAGAGATTCCTGGCATCCACAGATGACCCCGGCCGGGATGTGCCGTCGAAGATTTCAGCACATCGAGCGTTAAGTTGGAAATATGCCGTCAACGTCGTGTTGGATTCTTGCGCTCGACTCAGGGATTCCCTTTCTCTTCCTTGAGCGAAATATATAGTTTGAAAATCTGGCAGATGCACTGCTAATCTATAGACCGTGTGCGACTTGCCTTGCAGCGGGTATCCGAAGATCCTGTATACGCTTTGAGGAACGGATACATACCTCGTGTTGAGATGTTGTCTTATTTCATCGTGCTCATTCGCACTTTCGATGTTGAGGTTTGCACGGTCTGGTCCTTTAAAAATGTATTTGTAGAGATATTTGACGGATGAAGTCGTTCCACAAATTTCCATGTTCAGATGACAGTTGAACTTCAGGATCAAGTAAGGATTTGTAGGCACAATCCACTCGTCATTATAAGATGATCCATGGATTTCCAACGGATATAGACCACGTCTTTTGTAGAAAGGATATCCGTCGCCTTCTATTGATGTCTCGTGTCGTAAAGGTTTCGGAAATCGCTTCGAGCATGATCCACCTTCCATACACGGTGAGCGAGGATCTGCTAGGCCGCACTTTCGGTGAATCATGTAAGAAGTTATGGCATTGTGCAGTTCTGGATCTAATCTCGGATTGGGGATTTCGGCACTGACTGCATTGTCACATTCTTCAGGCGTGCGTATCTTCCATCCTTCCTTCATAATCAGCAACATATGACAGTGCGGCAAGCCGCGCTTCTGGAATTCTACCACATAAACATATGCTTGCACTTCACCAAGCACATGTTTTTTGAACAAATCGGAGCACAGCTCCTTTAATTTTGCATTGAATATGCGCGATACCAAGTCTGGTCTGTCGGATGGCGTTTGTCCACCGAACAGATTTTCCTGTATTTCTTTCCATTGTGGATTGCATGTCATTGTTATAAAGTATGTTGGTTTACCAAAACGCGCCACGATAGCCATGGCGTCTTGGAACGATTGCTGCATCGCGCTCGGACTTCCAATGTGAGATGACGGCAGTATAACACGCCGTCCCGGAGGTCCCTCTACAGAGTCTTCTCCAGCTAGGTAGTCCTGAAGTCCTCTGTAGGAATCTGCACGTAGAACCATCTGGCTCTGGCGTTGGAAGTTTAGCCTGTTCTGTTCTATTTTCACATACGCGTCTACCACAAACTGTTGGAAGAGCTTTCCTGCATGTAATATCGGATTGAATGAGTCTCGTATCGATATCAAGTAAGAGTAGTTGCTCTTCTGAGTAACCCGTTCGCCGACGTTGTTTGATAGAGTTGGATCCCATCCTCCTGTGCCCGTTGGAAAAAGAAGGGGATATGTGAGGGGGTCACAAATCTTGTCGATGTCGCGAATGTTCATCAGCTGCTCACCTTCCGGTCTGCGCAAATGAACAGCAAGGCTTCTCGTAGCAGGAACGTCATTGTCGTCTCCAACATAAACCACTGCTACTTCGTTCGCTGTCGGGATGTCATACTGGCGTCGGGCAAGCCCTCTTTCTCTACTCTCTTCAAAGAAGAGCGAAAGTCCATGTACAGTATCCCTCGAGTGAAATGAGTGCACGGTGAAGGCAGAGAGTGGAGATTCATATACGGTATCCACCAAATGAGAGGAGAATCCAGTAGAGGCAGAGTGTTGGTTCATATACAGTAGCCATTGAATGAATAGAGAACATATTAGGGTCCATTTATGGAAATAGGAGGAAAATAGGGTAGATAAAAAGTGAGGGCCTATGTATCTGTCACTAAATTGAAATCCGTAGGATAAGATGACAAAACTGTAGGGACGGAATGCATTCCCATGTACGGTAGCCATTAGATGAAAGGAGAACCCAGTAGGGACGGATTTAAGGTCCATGAACGGTAAACTACTGAGTGAAATGAGAACACAGTAGAGATTGAGCGAAAGTCCATGTACAGTATCCCTCGAGTGAAATGAGTGCACGGTGAAGGCAGAGAGTGGAGATTCATATACGGTATCCACCAAATGAGAGGAGAATCCAGTAGAGGCAGAGTGATGGTTCATATACAGTAGCCATTGAATGAATGGAGAACATAATAGGGTCCATTTATGGAAATAGGAGGAAAATAGGGTAGATAAAAAGTGAGGACCTATGTATCGCCACTAAATTGAAATCCGTAGGATAACGAATACGGTAGAGACAGATTGAGGACCAAATGGTGAGAAATTGAATAAGTCGAGACATGGTAGGATCCACATATGGGATCCCTTGAATGAATGGAGAACACGGTAAGGGCAGGCTGGAGGTTCATATACCACAACAGTAGCAGAGTGAAGGTCCATATACGGTAGCTATCAAGTGAGATGGGAATATAGTAGGGTTTGAGTGGATGTTTATAAAATACAGTTTACTTTGCATATGAGGAGAGCATGGTAGGGTCCATATATGGTGACACTTGAATGAAATGAGAGAATGGTAGAATTAGAGTAAAGGTCCTATACGGTATCCATTAATATGAGGAGAACCCAGTAGGTGCGTTAAGGTCCATATACAGTAGCCACTGAATGAATGAAGAACATGATAGGGTCCACTTATGGTATCCCTCGAATGAACGGAGAACACGGTAGTGGGAGGCTTAAGGTTCATGCACGGCATCCATTGAATGAGAGGAGAACCCAATAGAAGCAGTGAGGGTCCATATACGGTAGCCCAGCGATAACAGAAAACCACGGTAGGGTTCGTATATGGTGTCACTTGAATGAAATGAGAGTATGGTAGTATCAGAGTGAAAGTCCCATATGGTATCCATCAATTGGAGGAGATCCCAATGAGTGAAGGTCAGTCCTATATACCGTAGCCATCAAATGAGAGGGGAATACGGTGGGGACTGAGTGAAGTTTCTAAAATGCAGTGTACACTGCATATGAGGAGAACATGGTAGAGTCCATATATGGTATCCCTCGAATGAAGCGAGAACATGTAGAGACAAAGTGATGGTCTATATACGGTAGCCATCAAATGAGGGGGAAAGCGGTAGAGGCTCTGTGAGAGTACATATACAGTATCCCTTAAATGGGATTATAGTACGATAAGGACGGGGTAAGGGTTTCTAGGGGGTTCCTTTGGTGGGGAGGGCGAGAACACGATAGGAAATGTGTAAAGGTTCATATACAGTGCATATGTTCCCATACAGATCACTTCTTTTTCATGTCATTTCTATTTCTACAACGTATTATAAAAAAGTCATATAAAGTTAGAGCATGCAAACAGTATTCTGGATATTTATAGGTCTTCTGGGAGGCGTGGCACGTTCCTAGAGGGCGTTGCAAAGGTCAAATTAGGGCGTGGCAACGGAGATATCATGAGTCAGATCGGCACTGGACATGGAAAGCCATCAGTTTTTTATTTGCCAGGAACTTCATTTCCTACCCTACCATTTGAAACTTTTTCCTCATTTTTTAGAGCAGGTTAAATTCTACATATGGTTGGACAAAGGCCGCGAAATGACATTTTTTGAAGGTCTTCAACCTGGAACTATAAAAGCTGTAGATATTTGGTTTTCAAGAAATATTATTTGTAACTTGAAATGAAGCTGTGTGTGGTCATGAGCACTGATTTTGGGAAGATTGTGTCTTTGAATATTTATATAGGGATTTTTACTATCTGCAGTAACTTGCAGGTCTCCTCAGGCCATGCACCTGGGTGGTCGGGGTTACTGTAAGAGCCTATCAAAATCTGTTTTCAGGGATTGGTGTACCCAGATTTGAATACGCTCTGCAGTCCATTTAGTCGAAATACTCTGTGTAGTTTGGACTGTGTGTGGTCCTGAATAGAACTCCTGTGATATGAAGCTGTGGGTGGTCATGAGCACTGATTTTGGTAGGATGGCGTCTTTGGATAATTATATAGGGATTTTTACCATCTGCAGTAACTTGCAGGTCTCCTCAGGCCATGCACCTGGGTGGTCGGGGTTACTGTTAGAGCCTTTCAAAATCTGTTTTCAGGGACTGGTGTACCGAGATTTGAATACGCATTGCAGTCCATTCAGTCGAAATACTCTGTGTAGTTTGGGCTGTGTGTGGTCCTGAATAGTACTCCTGTGTTATGAAGCTGTGGGTGGTCATGAGCACTGATTTTGGTAGGATGGCGTCTTTGGATAATTCTATAGGGATTTTCACTATCTGCAGTAACTTGCAGGTCTCCTCAGGCCATGCACCTGGGTGGTCGGGGTTACTGTGAAGGCCTTCGAAAAATTGTTTTCAGAAAGATATACATTAGGCAACTCAATACCTGAGGACAGGTCGTAAAAACGCACCTGTTTGGTTAACATGTATCTATGGGGTGTACGCCATGTACCCTAGGTGAGGTTGTAAAACTTTCGAGGTCACATACCTAAATTATCTCCTTTTCTTGTAATAATTTTGTAAATATGTCATGTATGAATTCGCGGAGTCCTTCAGTTGTCTACATGTGATGCCCCTGGGTGGTCGGGGTTACTGTAAGAGCCCTTCAAAATCTGTTTTTAGGGATTGGTGTACCCAGATTTGAATACGCTCTGCAGTCCATTTAGTCGAAATACTCTGTGTAGTTTGGGCTGTGTGTGGTCCTGAATAGTACTCCTGTGTTATGAAGCTGTGGGTGGTCATGAGCACTGATTTTGGTAGGATGGCGTCTTTGGATATTTCTATAGGAATTTTTACTATCTGCAGGAATTTGAAGGTCTCCTCAGGCCAAGCACCTGGGTGGTCGGGGTTACTGTAAGAGCCTTTCAAAATCTGTTTTCAGGGACTGGTGTACCGAGATTTGAATACGCATTGCAGTCCATTCAGTCGAAATACTCTGTGTAGTTTGGAGAGTTATGAAGTTTTGATCTAAGCCCCGCCCACCTTCTTGCCAACCCCGCCCACTTCATGAACTTGACCACATTTGTTCCATTACCTCTGACCATTTTTCCCGCATTCTAGCGCTTTTGAACAGAGCTATGAAATGTTGATCTAAGCCCCGCCCACTTTGGTGCCAACCCCGCCCACTTCGGGAATTTGACCACATTAGTTCCTTCACCTCTAACCCTTTTTTTCCGCATTCTAGAACGTTTTCGAACGGAGTTACACTCATTTTTAAAAAGTAGCTTTTGCCTTAACGCGCGCCCCGCCCACCGTGGGCGGGGTTTGGCTAAGCTTACACATGCCCAGCACGCATGAAGCCTTGCCCACTCTTTTTACTTTTTTTGCTGGCCTCGACGCCTTCGTTGAATCGAGTTACGAATCTCTGTTGAAAGTACCGCCCACTGCGAGAACGCTCCGCCCACCGCTGGTGAGTTTCTTTTATTTTATTTGTTGACCCATCCCTCACCTTTGCACATTTTTTCCCGGCGTCTGGACTGTTATGAGACCGGAAGAGAAGAATTGGCCCATGACCCCCCCCCCAATTCCGGCGCATGCCCCGCCCCTTAGGGGCGGAGCTCCGCTAGGCTCACATGTGCTCTGTTGCACTTACCCTATGCTCAACCCATTCCAAACTTGACCCGACTTCTCCAGGTGTTTCTTCAGGTTGTATCGAATTTCCGTACAAACAAACAGACAGACAGACAGACAGACAGACAGACAGAGCGCTTTATATATAGTAAGGATTCTGAGAGGGATTCATCAGTATACATCCCTTTCACCCTAGAGCACCTCATGTCAGCGACTTAAAGGCACAATTCACGATAATTTTGAGATGCCCTCTTGAGGTTGAAAAGAGGAAGTGTTAATGAGAGGAGTACAACGGTGGCGAAGGAAACGAGAAAGTCGGCCCACTCCGAGCTTTTTAATAGAAGTGGGGGTTGGAGTTGTATGAGATCACTGGAATGGCAAGCGGCATGGTTTTTGGACAAAATTTATTTAGCTTGCTCTCATCGTGCATAGAGCTGGCAACATCAAACCAGAAGTGTACACGACTGCCTTTCGCTGTCGCTGTGGGTCATTACAAGTTAATTGAACTTCCCACATTAGTTCCCTTATGAATGGTGCAGCTTCTACAAAGCCGTTGAAACTCGTCCACCAAGGGGCGTGGCACTTGCACGATATAATCTCTGGTTCCTTATTGTGCCCTATTCAGACATTTTTCGCCCTTATCAGGATTTACTACGGATCTCCTTTCACTGAGGGTTCTCTCTCACTGAAGGATCCCCAGCCGGTTAGTGACGAGGCTACGTAGGGCATCCCCAGGTGGCGGATAGGGGAATTAATCGCCGACCAAAAGTCACCGGTACTTGCCCAGAGACGCAGGTGGATTCAGGGGATGGACTCCTTGATTCTGCTGTGCTGGGTCGATATACCCTCTGTTCCTCGCAGGCGATCCACGCATACGTAAGTGGAGAGTCTGTGAGTGCAGTTGGTATCCTGCCCATCGACTCGGCCAAAAGCTTGCATTCGAGTGACGATCAAGTCACACTGGGAAGTATCTGGGAGGCGATTCGGGGCCGCCTCCAAAAACAAAGCCCCTTGCCCACTTCGGGATGGCCTGGCAAGCCCCCGGAGTCAATAGCCCCCACGTCAGAGCCTGGCAAGCTGCACGTTGGGTATCTTCACGCCAAAAACAGTAATAGGAATGGGCCTCATTCTCCTGAACCTGAGGGAGCCCCCAATACGGCAGCGTTGGATAGGACCGCTCGGGAAAGGCTGCTAAAGTCTCAGGGCCAAAACAGGCTGCCCAATAGGAGAAGGACTAGGATGGCGATCTGTACTTTCAACGCACGGACGCTTGCATCGGAAACGTGTATAGAAGACCTGATGATGCAAGCTAGGAAGATCAAGTACGACGTCATCGGACTGACCGAGACGAGAAGGCATCGCCCGCTGCACGCTGTATTTGAGACTGGAGAAGAACTGTTCCTTGGAACATGCGACAGTAGAGGCGTCGGCGGCGTAGGTGTCCTTGTCAATACGCACTTGGCCATGAACATCGACTCGTACGAAAGCTTAACAACCCGAATCGGACGTTTGCGATTAAGAAGATGTGGCTCAATCCCAGCTCTAACCATCTTCGTTGCTTACGCACCAACATCGAGCTGCGAAGAAGA